CGAGAAGAGATGACAACATTATCAAGAAAATGAAGAGGTGAGAAGAAGAGGAAAAGAAAGGAAAAGTTAGAGGGAAAGGGCAAGAAAAGAGAGAGAGAAAGAAAGAGGATAAAATTTTATCCAAAAAGATAAAAGATGAGATGAGATGAGATGAGATGAGAAGAGGAAAAGAGAGACGAGAAAGAAAAACGATTGAAATTCATTGGAATTGGCCTTCATTGAATTTCAATCGTTTTCACTTCCTGTCTTTCTTTTCCTCTTTCTTCTCTTTATTCAGCAGCCTTCTCTGGAACTGTGTTCTAGCACAAGTTGACCTTTTTCCTGGAAAAAGGTCAAGTTGTGCTAGCACAGTGTGCCAGAGTGGGCTGCTTATAGTCTACTAAAGTCGAATAGCAAAGCGAAACAGCGAAACGCTTATAAACTAGTTTTTTTGTTGTCGGTTGATTTCTTAGAGGTTCAATTTTTACTTTGGCAAAGGCACGGATAAAACACCCAATTGGACAAACTAATCATAGCTCTGGTTAAGAGGGTGATAGCCTCATTTTAAGCACAAGTTTCAGGTTAATAGACAAGAGTTTCTGACTTTGGTTGCCTGCAAAGTGTTTATTGATTCTGTTAGTATCAAATAACATCATATAAGTTTTATTTACTTGGTATATAATATCAAGCATATTATTAATACATAAAAAAAGATTAAATTCATAAAATAAAAAGTTCAATGGAAACATTTAATCAATGTTCCGTAGTTATGGCTTGTGAAACCGATTGACTAATTGTACGTATTACTGACAATTGTGAGAACTCTGATGTTCTGAAATTGGCCCATCTTCAAATTACTGGAATCGTTTATTACAAATATAACTTGTACCCGCAATCGAGGCGTGTTTGCAATTCACTTGTCAACTGTAAATATTTTTACATTCATATGTCACTTTGCTGCAACCTAACCTGCTTGCTTTAAACAATCATAAATTGCAATAGCTTCTTCTATGCAATTTGAAAGCAACAAAAGTGTTTAAAATGTTTAGAACTTTCTTTTTATTTTCATTGTAATTGCAACGATAGCTACAGGTCAGTAAAAGGATAGTTCGTCTATGAATGAAAGTCTAATCTAACCTTTTCTATAACTAATTATTTTCCTTGACAGCTCAAGTCACAGAGTTGCTGGATCTTCCGTTAACGATTTCCGATGGAGCGTTGATCATCCATGCTAATTTATATATTTCCGTGAGTAAAAGACTTAAAAACTTATATTTGAAATCACTTTATTTCTCCTTTTATTTTCAGTCTGGAAGAGAAATATATTCAGTGAAAGAATTCGTCTGAGCTTCTGAATCAGCCATCGCGGGTAAAATTGCAGTCTCGGACTTATCATACGATAAGGATTCGTATGATATTTATTATCAGTTTGATAGATCTGGTAAGGACAGTAAGGAGAGATTGGTTATTCATGGTAAGAACTTGGTCAAATGTTGATGCAAATACATGTATGATGCTGAATCGTCAAAAGTAACAATTCGAATGAGAACTTTTCTGAAAACTGTTCATAATTTATTATAGCTAAGGATAGAATAAACGAAAATACACTTCATTTTCTTTGTTCATTAAAGGTAACGATTGCACATTATAAAATTATAGCAGGATTACTAAAGACGCAAATCTATTTGGAACAAATGAACCACTTAGAGATCTAATAATGCTTATGGGACCTTCTCTTATATACCGACTCGGTGGACAATCATTTCTTTGGGTGAGTTGATAGCAATAATTGTGTTAATAAGACTTGACATTAACTTTATTTCGACGATAGTATTCAACTAAATATGATGAAAACAGAGGAATTCTTGTGAAAAATATAACTCGAATTGAATTCAGTGGCTATGTCCGATCTTCAAAGTCACCTGGAGAGCAGTTATTCATAAATATCGTCTTGCAACAGTTCAATTCGATTCGATTCGCTGATTTAAAGTACAAAACTAAAGTAAGAAATTCAAGTTTCATCATTGGCATTTGACTTTCAGTCATTTGAATGACTGAAACATATCATTAGCTCGAATTCAGTGTATTAGGTGCAACATACATGCAAGAAGACAACCTTTTTAGGTTTAGGTTTCAAGTAACTTCATACGTATTCAATTTTAAATGTTCATTTGGTAAACAAATTTATTGTATGCTTAAGTATTGTTTTCCAATGCTCTGAACCTTTCTTGTTCACCAAATACGTATTTTTGCAAAAGTTTAATTGATTGGGACTTTATTATTATTCCATCTAACTGGAATCAACCTTTGAAATTCAAATTTGATTTTATCGCTATGGACCATCTCCATATCCACCTGGGGAGAATTTACATTTAGAATTTCACAAAATTGGGTCCGATTCGATTCTATTTGATTTTGTGAAGTATAAAGTTCAAGTAAGAAATTCAAGATTTGATTGTTGACATTTAAATTTTAGTCCAGCAAACTGCTAAAACATATAAGCTCAAATTCAAAAATTCTAGGCGAGCCAAGCATACAAGAGAACAACTTTTCTAGAGTTTACTGTTTTCGAGTATCTTAAGTCGTATTTAATCTTAAATGTTCACTATTTTTATGAACAAAAATTATGTTCGTTGAGTTGTTTTCCAATGCTCTTAATCTTTCTCGTTCACGAAACACAAAAGTCCGACTGATTGGGATCTTATTATAACTCACACTGACTTAATTCTTGTTTAGCCTTCACCTGGAATTGGTTGTCCGAGTTACTTATCGGAATGGAGATCGATTCCAAAGTTATTGATAAAGTATGTACACTTCAGCATGTACGAGACCCGATACGCAGATATGACCTCTATTCAATGGGACTTTTATCCTTAAAAAGTTATTCTTACGTGGTCCAAAATTTTCTATCGTTGCCAAAAGTTCCAAATAAAAAGAAATAGACAAAAAATGGATAAAAATCGAAAAATATAGCTAGGTTTTTGAGTATAACCAAAAGGTCGACATCATCGCCAAAATAAAATCATCAAAAAACTTATGTTTAACAGTTCCCCGATTTATTTCCCACAATTCATTTCTTGGAGGAATACAGCCCATTCCATCATGATTAAGCCTTATTGACAAACAACTTATTCACCTCAGTAGGCTTGCTTTGGAAGAGGTTGTAGTAAGTGGGTTCAACTCAGTGTTAACTCTACCGTTGCGCACCCATTCCCTTCCCGTTATTTCGGGATGATATTTGTGACAGAGTAATTCTTTGTATTCGTTGCATAGCTAGGATTTTGGCAGTGTAATATCTATGTTATCGTCTATCAGTGTTAAATCGCAAGAATATGAAATTTTATCTATTCTTGGAATTACTGTTGTCAGTACAGAGTTGAAAGTCTAAGATATTTAATGTTCAGTGCACAAAGCAAGTATATAAGCAAGCAAATTTATATGGTAAAGGGAAGGGAAGAGTCGTGCGATAACGTAGCCCAGACCTAAAATAGGTCATCGATGTAATAAAAAGACAGAAAGTGAATTGGACGGTTAAGTCGAGCTAATCATTGAAAACATAAATTTATTTTGGTTTAATTCTGATAATAAAATGAATTGTCGTGGAAGTACATCAATTCACAGTGCATCTTCAATTCATTTCAAAAGATTTCTATCTTTAGTTGGTCATTCCCTCATATTCTTCTTCATATTTGCCCAACTCATCATCACCGTTTTCATGATTTATAACTCTTTCCCGCTTTACACTATCATTTGCTAATCAAAGTTTATTTTTTATTGAATTTCGTTGGTTACATTAACTGATCCAACAATCGGATGACCAGATCGGATGACAATTTTAGGCACTCGACCATACTTTTTTTATTAGTATAAAACATTCAGATTTTATCATCGCGAAACACATTATAAGATAAAAAATTGTCATGGAAAACTATTGAATCTGTTGGTTCATATTCTTCGCACTTGGATAAAAATTGTATCAATTGTAACCATTCTATTTACTCTATTATCTCAGAATTCACTCATTGATAATTTCAAATCTTATAGCCACAAGTTTCCCTTCGAAGGCGTTATTTCTTTTTATAAATATTTACGGTAATTTTGTTTGTTATTTATTTGTCAAATGTAAAATGTGTTACATTCATAATTTATTTTGTTAGAGTCTGAGTACTTAAAACAAGCATAAATGCATTTTAAAAGTTTCGATATGCTGTTAGAACTTTCTTTTATTTTCATTGTAATTGCAACGACGACAACAGGTGAGTATTATTCATCCATCAATAAAACCTAACCTAACCTTTTTCTGTTACACATTATTTAAAATGAAATTGACAGCTCAAGTCACAGAGTTGCTGGATCTACCGTTAACGATACTCAATGGAGAGTTAGTCATCCATGCTAATCTATATGCTTCCGTAAGTAAAACAATCAAATTCTATTCGAAATCATTTTTATCTCTTATTTCATCTTCAGTCTGGAAAGGAAAAGTATTCAATAAAAGAATTGATCTCAGCTTCGGAATCAGCCATCACAGGCAAAATTGTAGTCTCAAATGATAAGGATTCGTACGATATTCATTATCAGTTTGATAGAACTGGTAAGGACAGTAAGGAGAGATTAGTTATTCAAGGTAAGAATCTGGTGAAAAATTAAGTGAAACTCGATAAACGAAAATATATTTAATTTCTTTCATCATTAAAGGCAACGATTGCACATTATACACTCACAGTAAAATGACACAAAATGCGAATCTATTTGGAACTAATAAACCTCTCAGAGATCTAATACTCCTAATGGGACCTTCAATTATAAACCGACTCGCTGGACAATCAACTGTTTGGGTAAGTTAGCCGCAAATTATACTGTATATGAAACCTGACATAAACTTATTTGACAATAGAGTGAAGCTACGCAGAAAGAAATTAGAGGATTCAATATGAAAGGTGCAACGACTACAGTCCATAAAACATTAGCAATCAGTATTTATTACAAAGGTGAGTCCAAATTTTTTCTGCATTCAAAAAGTCATCAACTCTTGTTCTCATTCATGAACCAGATAAATATGACACTTCTTATGGAGTTAAACATCCAACTCGCATTGAATTCAATGGCTATGAGCCATCTTCTTATCCACCTGGAGAGAAGTTATTTCTAGATATTTACCTGAAACAGTTCAATCCAGCTCAATTCGATGCTTCAAAGTATAAAGTTCAAGTAAGAAATTCATTCGCATTCCACTCAAACTGAGTTTATATTTATTCTTGATAAAGCAAAATTATGTTTAATAATTATTTTCCAATTTGCTGGATATTTCTTGCTAACCATAATTTACAAAAGTTTAATTGCTTGGCATTTTATTGTAACTGACACTGGCTTAATTCTTGTTTAGCTTTCGCCTGGAATCGGTTGTCCACATTACTTATCTGAAAAGAAAACAATGCCCGTATTGGTGACTAAGTACATACGCTTCACCATGTATGAGGAGATCCAAGGCTCAACCCATACTCGAACATACAGTGAGGTTAGTTTCGATTAGCTTTAATTGCTTTCTGTTTCTCATCCAATTTAATTACGCTTACAGGTTACGGCCTCTGGAAAGAACCTTTTGATGAGACTTAAAACTTCTTTACTCGGTGTAGAAACAGAAGTCATTTACGATAATGGACTTGGAATAATCCTTACTCTCGAAAAAGGTGGACATTGCCAGATGAAGATCGGAGACAAGAACTCCCCTGGACGCAATGCAAAAGGTTACTTCAAGCTAGAGAATCTTCTCTTAGTCGATGGCAACTTCAATTATATTGGAAAGGGCTACTTCGTAAGTAATTTCACGAATTATGAAAATGTTAGAGTTGAGTTGTGTGGATGCCAATTTGCTTTCAATCTTTTCTTCAATTCTTTTAGTAAACTAACGAGGGAAGGTAACGCTACACCAGTTTATCATTATACCACAGATCCACATTACTTGCATTAAGCACAAAACACCTTATGGAAAAACAACTTTGACACGGTGTAACTTTTAAACGGAGCATTTGCGAAACGAAAGGCTTGACAGAGGTTCATATCTAACCCATTAGAATATTTTGAGGTCAAAAAAATTGAAAACTGGTGTAGCGTTTGGGAACCTTCCCTTGTAAGCTAATTCTAATTAAAACTTTGATTACTTTTTTCACTTAATTTATTCAGGGAGATCAATTCGAATTTCCTGTTGAAGCGTGGGAATCAGTTCAATTCAATGCTAATTTTGAAGGAAATAAAGTGGATAAATTTGTCGTTACTCAATATTTCGTTGAATCGGTAAGTTTGATACTTGAATTTAACCATAAAAGTCCAGCAATTTCATGCAAACAGTTAGAAATAATTCTGAGATTTTAGATGAATCATTCCACTTTTGTTATCATGTTGACAAAGTCGAAAATTAGTGCACTCACATGTTGTACACTCAACTGCTTTTAATCGGGCTTTATCTGATGATGAATGTGATGCGTTCTTGAGATATTCTCTTAAGTTGTTGTTGTGTTGTTTCCTATTGACTTAGCATTGATAAAATGTAATGATTTTCAAAGTTGACCAGAATTATTTTTTTGCAAAGATAATTCTTTCATCAGTCATAAACATTTTGCTTGCGTTTCCATACCACGGAAGCCTCTATCCTCTATGGCTAATAAAAGAAATTCTCGTGTTAGAAAATACATGTAATTTTGCTAAGTTGAAGTTTTGACCATTTTATTAATGATACAACTGCAAATGTTCAGACCAGGGCTCGTTGTATTTAACGAAATAAAAGCAATGTGTGCGTGAATCGATAATCAAGCTTTCAAAAAACGCTTTTTCCCTTGTTCTTTATTCTTAACTTACTTTGTTCACTTCATTTATCACTTGGAATGAATAATTATTTTAATATTTGTCCCTTTAAAGCCAAACAGTGCGATATTTAATGGTTATTCACTTGTAAGAACAATGATTTCCATCTATGAATCAGACTCATCGGTAAGTATTCATTTCCATTCTTATTGTTTTCTTGTGATCCTCAAAATCATTTCCATTTTTGTCTTTATCAGAAAAAAGTTATGTTTTGGCTAAAGGATCAAAAGAGACTACATGGACTTGCAAACAGTTGAATTTG